CTGTCGGTTGGAAAGCGTGAACGTGAGATGCACCGCGGAGGGAAGTGTCGTGACACACGGTGGCGTGCGAAGTGATGTCATTATACTTTTCTTTCCCCGAGCGAGTCCCTCCCATTGTCTGCGCTCGCGGGCTTCTCTGATAAAAGGAGCACAAGGTATTTTCAGGCGACGTCTACCCGGTCGAGGTGACAGGTTGCATCGCGACTTCTCTTGGATATTGATTAGCCAACGCTCGAGTATTACGCAAGGCGTCTATTAAGAAGCATTGCGATACGATTGGTATTTCATTTTAAAAAACTTCATGAATACCCCGGCATCGCTTCACTTTTTGCTGTTTGCTTGCGTCGCTAAATGTCGACGAATTATTTTAATTCCATTCGATTCGCATCGCGTGCGCGTCGATAATGCAAAACATAACCGCAGCAGGAAGTAATGCGAAAGCTAAATTCAACAGCATAGAAACATGGACTAATTAAATATCAGTCGTTATTATGCTTCTGAATTTATAGGATGATGCAAACATCATAAAGATATAGCATAATGGCAATTTGAAACTGTCTACTCATTAGCGCGCAGTGGAATGCGCGCGGGTAATTAATTTGCAAAGTGCACCTCTACCCCTATGCATCATTTCACGATCATTTGCGAATATTCAACAACTGCGTGCCTTCAAATTATATTATTAGCGAATATTTCGCAAAAATAATTATTATTTCATTCAATTTTCAGAAACGTAAAGATTCCAAATTCATAACCGCAATTAGCATCAGCTATAAATAATTAATGACATGTTCTTCAATCTGCACGTTTGCACTATTTCTCGCGAAAAACTCTGCGTGGTGTACTAATAATGAAAGTGTCTGTTCAGTATTAAAATACTCTGTTGTTCAATATCATAGCTGCCAAGTATCACAATAATCATTGAGTATTTAATAACTCGTTTTCAAGGTCACCAAGGAAAAAAAAACATTTAATTAGTTTAAAGTGACACCGAGTTTCTTACTTCGAGGTAAAAATAAATTACGGTTACAACCTCGCTTGACCAACCATTGAAATGCTTTTAAGTACGATAAACTAAAATCTCCATACTCAACAAACAAGCAAATGCATTTCCCATCGAATTCCCTAAAAAACATAAGAGTTTCAAGACTTGAATGAAAGCTTGTTTAAAAAAATGCTGTTGATCGAGCCTGTAGTACAGTGTTTGTCCGTTCTCTTTTCACGGCGTGCACACTTTCTAAGTTATGAAAGTAATGACGAAAGCACGTGCTACTCCCACTCGCCGCTGTCTTCTCGCACGTGGGAGTCGTCGACGGCAACTGACAATTACATGGAATTAGCATCACCGTTGTGGCAATATTTCGGTAGCTCATAGCATATTTCTCTTCGTGACTTTTAGCATTCGTGAACTTTGTCAAAAAAAAAAAAATAAATAAATAAATAAATAATCGGTCACTGTTTTAAACAAGTTCTCGCAGGTGTAGCCGGTTACAAAAGCTTCGTTGATGAAGTATCGTTCGTCCGTTGCTATCGAAATTTATAACGTTTGAAATTTCATTTCTTCTGATCGACTTTGATTTTTGGAATGATTTGGACAAGTTTCTTATCTGTAAAACAGAATTCAGATAACACGATATTCATACATCAAGGTTGGGATGCATATCACCTCTACTCATCAAGCATGAATCATGAACTCTTTTGAAGAAAGCACCACAAATTCGATAAAATCAACAGTTGTATAATAATGCAAAGTAATTCGTGTAAATTTTTCGCATATCACTTCCGCAAAGCATCTGAAACGCACAAAGGAAAAGAAAGTATCCAAACAGTCGAAAAGTGTAATATCAGCTAACACGTATGCACAAGATGTGCATAACAATTTAACAACTTAAAATATTAAAATTTAATTAAAGCCACCCCGCGTGCTCGCGAAAGTACAAACAGAAACTGTTTAATGCAACATGTATATGTAGATGCTTTACTGCTACAACCGCGAAACACTTCGCGCGCGAGAGACACGCCACAGAGAGAACCACCTGCCTGTGATTCATCTCTTCTGCTCTCTGCCTCGTCTAGTTTGCCTAATTTTCTTCGGTTTGTCGGATGAACTTTGGCTTTATCCTGCCGTACGAATCTTTGTTACGAAGTAACGCGCTTTTTCATCGTACGTGCATCCAATCAGCAAGACGGACATGTCAATTCATTGAAAATCGAGCATAGGCGTTCCCCAAAATAATCAGCGAAGATCTCGATCACATAACAAGAGCTTCTCCTTGCGCTTGGCAAAATTACGAGAGCAATGAAAATAATTTTCCTTCTTATATCGCGAAAGATTTTTTTGGCGCGAGAGACACTCGTAGTATGTGCGAACCGTGTGTGTGCGGCGTGTAATAAAAGTAAATCGAGAGCACATAAAAATCGTGTCGCCTGGAGCAAACACGAGGGAGGAAACACTTACATTATCAACGGCTTTCGATTATACCAACGCAAAAAGCACATCAGTGTATACCGCACGTGCGCAGACAGAGAGAGATCTGTTGATGTTGTTCTTGTCGTGAAGAGATTTTCCGGGTCGACGTTTGTTGCCCTGGGCAACCACCGCACAGCCCACGTCGACGTCGCGAGAAGCTTACTTGTGTTACCTTCCCCTCGCCGGTGTTTTTTTTTTAATAATTCGTACTCGTGTTATTCAAATTTGAGATGGAAATTTAGATGTGCTGGCGGTTAAGTCTAAAAAATTAATTTGTCCGTTCGTTTGCCATTCGCTTATCTCGACGTTTGCGCAATGTTCGCTCGCTTCCCCAGCAGTGTCGAGTGTGCAGGTATTGCCGAACGAAACAACTTGTTTTTCCGTATTTTTCACTACCGGCGTGTACCGCGCGCGCGGACCCGACCGTCGTTTTATTTCGCTGTCCCCCGTTCTTTTATTTTTGGACGTACCGTTTCGCCGACGTTTTTTATTTCACTTTGCGATTTTTTTTACGTGCACGTTTACATTCGCAAAGAGCTTCTTTTTTCTCTCTCTCTCTCTCTCTCTTCTACGTGAACGTTCTCTTTGAAGAATATACAACGCTGACAGTGTGTATTTCAAATTCAAAGTCGTACAACGATAACGATCAAATGACGAGGGGGAGTTTCGGCGTATATTCTGCGCGCGAACGAGACCGAGGGGTCGAACCTTAATGAAATAAACATCTGAGGGATGTAAAAACTGCTCTTTTGCCGCTTGATTTACGAGAGAGCCACTTCAATCGCGTCCACTGCCAAATGCTTTTAAAAGTTTTTAATTGTCCCTTTGATCACAGTTTTACGAGTTACATCGCAACCTTTGATCGAACTCGTACAAGCAAAAGACTAAACAATATAGAAATTGATTTCCATGTTAAAATAAATTTTACACTTGTTTCCATTGTATAGTAGCAGTAGTAGTAAAACTTGTAAAAATAGACAGTGTAGAGTGCAACGTCATCGTTGCTCTCAGTATTCCATCGATTTCTATCTTTTGTATGCAAAATAGTCTCTACACACCTTGGACAAGCGCTCTGCTACAGAGAATCATTACGCGCTGTTAACGAACCTTCCACTCAATAAGAGAACCACGTTTTAGTTTGAGAAACAACCAGTATTTTTTCTACGCAGCATGATAGGTTTGCGTAGTATAATGAAATAGCGAAGAGCCTTGTTTATGCTCGCAAATATAAGCAAAATTGAAGACATAGTTAACGCTTTTTACTAAAACTGCGAACTGCTTGAATATATAATATTCTGACCGATAAAACTTGGATAAAATTTCGGCAATACAAGATCGTGTCTTGAAAATAGTAAATTCCATCCTCGGTATTTATGCAAATTAAGCGAGCTATAGAACCGCAAGAATGCTTCTGATATAAGCGTAGAGACATCTGTGTCAATTATTATAAGACTTGAAATTTGCTCACAAATTTTACTTTTATACCTGAGCATGCCGCGATAATGGCATGATCAATATTTGAACTACAGTAGTGCGTAGAAATGTTTTCTTGAAAAGTAAAAGAAGTCCAATTTCGGGCAGACGCTACTGTGTGTTTCATTGAATTTAAGAAGAACTTTCGTTGCTCGTATTCATTCGAAAATGATTTTTCGATTATTTTATAACTGTTTCAACACTTGCTATAAACGAGCACTTAACGAATGTACACATCAAAAGCCATGATCATCGAGAAAATGATTTTATACGTGACACCTGAGCATCAATTATTTTCATATCCTTTAATTCACTGAATGACTCGGCAAGGAAATCAACAATAAACAGGATGCGCTCAGTCGTGAGACAGAAATAAATATTCATGAAAAATTAAGCCTCTCCACGCGGCACACCATTCATACGAGCAACACGCGCAATTTAATTACGCGGTATATAGTCGCAGTTTTTCCCATTTCATTTCGAGCATTGCAAAACTAGGAAACGCCTTGTCAGTTCTTTGAAATTTCAGAACGCGCGCATAACGACGCCTATACTTGAAACAGCGACGATGCATCGTTTACTTTCATTTTTTCTTCTCGCGTATTGCGCAAAAACGAAGAAGAACTCGGTACGTGCCTCTCGAGAAAACATATAAAAAACAATCGTAAATGTCTGGATTCAATGAAGAGATCGTGCGGCGAAAGTATTCGGAGCCGTGCAACAAGCGCGCCAAACTGTTCTCGCATACTTTCGGGAACGAGCCTAATTTTCGTCGGCGGAAAGCCGAAAAAGCCAAAGCCGCGCAGGAAAAGTTGCTTGGTAATAAGAAAATACACGCGCGCACGTGCTGGTAATTGGCGAGCCGCACCACAAATAAACCAATTAACAAGTTATAACAGTACACGCGCATTCCCAGCATCGCGAATACAATGACAAATCCTTCCCAAGAGAGGGAGAAAGAGAGAGGGAGAGAGAGACGCGCACATCCCGTCAAGCGATACACACGTATATAAAACGCAGGATGTCGGTGCCCGGACGCGAGAGAGAAGACACTCACTCGACTCCATTGGCTTGCGTGCGCGTACGTAGCGTCGTCCTCGCGTTCTCCAAGGCGCCAATTCTCTTTCTCTTTTCAGCTTGGCATTGTACAACTCGGCGTCGAACTTGGAGGCACCGGCTGAACTCACTGCGAATGAAACTGTGCGACGGCGCTGAGTTGCTCGCGGCGGCACGCGGCGCCTTTCGTTTAACTTGCGAGGATCGAGTTCCAGGCCCGACTGCCTGTCGAAAGGCCCGTCTCGAGCGAGAGCAAAAGATACCGAAGCAGGCAAGCGACGCGGGAGAGGGCAGTCGAGTGAGAGCGGCCCCTTCTACGCTCGATTCATTTATACAGGTGCGCGCTGCGTGTGTCGCGCGATTTCAAGAGCTGGCTGCTGCCACCTATACACCTATACACCTGTTTTAGCAACCAACGCGCTTAACGCGACTGTTCGCGGAAATTCTCGCTTATGCAGTTGCCAGTCCGATGGCAGATTTTCTTTTTTCATCGCTTCGGCTCGCTTTCTCAAAAGTTGCGAAGTCACTTCCGAACCAGTAAATCCCCGCCGGGAAATCAGCGTCTGATAATGCAATGCGCTCTTTACCATCTGACAAATATACCGATCAATCATCGAGGAAAGCCTAATAATCAACAAGTCATTCAAGAGCCTAACGAAAAAAATATATATACATATAAATAAATATTGACGCGATGATTGAGAAACTTGCCTTCGTATTCATGCAAATTCAAACTGACGTAATGCAACAATTTCAAATAAACCTGCATCTATTTGACATGCATTCAACTTACCAAAAAAATCGTCATTGCGGCATGATCTTATTATAGAGTTTACAGCTCGACGACGAAAAAAAGTAAACCAAAGCAACTTCTAAGCATTATCTCAAGCGGTTGCTTGCCTTGCGCGAGAAAGAAAATGCCGCCATTGTCTAATTTTCCAAGACAATGCATCAATTGGTATAGCGGTAAGGAAAAAACAAAAGCGTAGCCGAAAGTAGACAGTCGCAGCGGCGTTTTCAAAGATTTACACCTGCGAAAGGCTCCACCGAGAGCGCAGAATCAAATTTGAAGGAGACGAGGGACGAGGCGCGTGTTACATAATTCTGGCCGCTCGTAAATTGCACATTACGTGTTCGCGTTCGTGCGAAAAAGTTCACAGGTGGCGCGAGAGCATCAGGATTTACTTTTTATTTTATTTTATTTTTTTTTTCTTTCGCTCACAATTATCGACAGGTGAATGCAAGAGCACGTGATTTACGCTTGAACGATGCTACGGGGAGTTCTTCGGACTCCAGTTTGCGGGAATGGGGATGATTTGACTTTAATGAAGTTTTCTTCTCTCTAATTTATTGTAGTTGATACTTGCTTGATAATCATGTTTAGATCGTCGATTTTCGCATGTTTCGCGTTAGGCGGCCGTTTATTTCCAACGTTCGCGACGAAAATAACTTTCCCGGGCGATATTTCACCATCAAAGACTCGTACTGGTATCCACGTGTACGCGGATATTAATGCATCAACAGTTAACGCAGCAGCCGGAAAGGTTTAAACGGGATCAAAGAACAAGTTCTATCCACGAGCCTAGTTATCTAAATACCAGCGAAACCTCCGAAAATGAGATTTCACTGAAAATTCAAATTAACGTTGCGATGACGATACAGCTGATGCGATACAGCTTCGTCATCCTAAATAGATTGCTTTGAAATTTAAACGACGTCATCGTCATTCGGTGGAAAGCTCATCGGCAGTAACGGAGCTTTTCGTTTAATGAAAACATCAAAGCCAATAATCATCCCGGAGACAAACGGCGAAGCCGCTATTCAGCAGGAAAATAGATCAATATTGTTTTTCATCCAGAAAGGCCCACTCTCATCACTTCGCCCATCAACGAGCAAAACAAGGCTACGCCGAGCGCATACACGCCAGCTTTCCACGCGAAACTCGTACGCGCGGGCATTCCCCGTACGTGTACGTCGAATAAGTTGATTGCCTCTCTCTCTCTCTCTCTCTCTCTTTCAGTAGAGTTTCCATCGTTCGTGCGTTCAAGTTTGTTGGTGGCTTCGCTTCAAGTATTTGCAATTTCGAGCTGATAAGGATGTCAAATCGAAAGTCGACGCTGTGCGATTAACATGCAAAAGGCGAAAATTAATCGAATAAAAGTATTGAGATCGTTCTTGGGAACGATCCAAAGAATACGATTCCTTTTACCGAGGCCAAGCTGATTTTGCACGACACACTTGCGTGAAGGCAGATCTCTGAGGTCGCGATTGTTCGTTTAGCACCGCGATTATGCTTTTCTTCGTTCGATCAAAAAAGCTACTTTGTATTTCGCAACTAAATGTCGTTCGTTTGGCCGACGCAGGTATTTGTAGAGAAAATGCAATTCACGACTCCCGCTAGTTTAAATCGACCTTGCTTTCGTTATCTTTTTTTCTCGAAAAGGCTATTCGCTATTACCAAATATCTTCCCAACATCTTTCTTTTTCCTGTTATTCTTATCGAAGAGTGTTAAGAATACGCAACATTTCGATCAATACGATCAGATCGCAGTTAGCCGTTTGAACATTTCTCATACTCTTGAAGCATTAAGCGTCAAGACTATTATCATCGTAATATCAAGATATCGAAAGATCTTGCAGTTACTTCTGTACACTAAGGCTAATAATTATCAAAATGACTATTAAAAAATGAAATATCGCAAATAATACACTCGATAAGATTCAATTCTAAATGTTAATTCATCAGCCGATCATCATTTCCTCAATGACAGTTATATCGGACAGCAACAACTGCAATCAATCAAAGCAGCTGTCAGGAACGTGCTATAAAATTTCCCTGAACGACCAGTTGCGTTTCCCATCGTTCTCGCGATGAATGAGAAAAGCCGCAAGTTTTTACGGAAAAAAATGACTCAACGTCCGGAGCCGCTATACTTAATAGAGTTGCCGGGGCTTCCACGCCATTACGTTCCGACAGCAACGGCCGAGGAAAAAGAGAAAAAGGCGACGAGGAGAGACTGTCAAGGTGAGGAAAACGCGAAATCCTAAGGTGAGCACATACTCACAGGTTGCTTACACTCGCGAGAGAGGTTGCGGATGAGACTGTCACCCGATAGACTACCACGCTTTTCTCTCCTGGCTGTAATTGCAAGCTTGTTCTTCGCTCTCTCGACTTTTTTTTATTTTTATCTCGACGTGCTCCACGTACCGTCTAGCTTCTGCGATTTTACTTACGTAAATCATCCATTTGTCTTGGCTGCTTGCTGGTTAATGTTTTATGCTTCGGATAAAAAGGCATTCATAATATGGAATCTAGATTTTGGCATAGTTCAACCTTTGATCTGTCATTCAGATTTTCGTATACGAATGGAAACTAATCTTTGTACAATCGCAGAGATTTATTGTTTGTATAGGCTTTGCAGTGACGTAATATTGACGTAACCAAGTCAGGTTGTTCCATTCCAACGCTTAAGAGATTTCAAGCTGCGATCTGAGTCTTATAATTTTAATGTATATTTTTGCCTGCAGCAGATACTATAGGCATTTCGTAGAACTGCTTTTATTACGCTCGGTTCAAATGCAAACTTCAACAATGCTTGATTTTTCTCCAGGAGCTTCTCACTTGCAGTGTGAAATTGTTTTGCAATTGCAACATGCCTACTGGAAAAGCTCGTGACTGTAATCTCATGTTACGCATGGGCATTGAAAAGTGCGATATTAATATACTCTGAGCACGCGTCTTAATTTAGTATACATTTTATAGAACTAGCAGTGAAGTTCTTATCTGATTGTGAGTATAGAAGTATAGAACAAGGTATAGGATTCGTAACGAAGAATGGCAAAGTCAATTATGAAACGCCGTTATATAAAAAGATCGCAATTTCCCATATAATTTATATCACACAGAATAGATCTGATATTGCCAAGCTACATCTTCACCTTTTTGCACAACGGAGCGCATGCACTTGTTCACAATTCAGTGGATTTCCTTTCAGTTTGTGCTAAATTTATAGACGAAAGCCTTTCTCTACGCCTATTCTCACTTTTCTAGCAGCGACACTGTTATCTCCTTTAAGACTAGGAAGCGCGTCGTGAAAAATGATTATATCTATACGTGATCGACAGCTACGGCGGTATTTCCGGGAAATCGTTCATAGTTCAATTAAAATAAGGAATTCAAAGTCATTTTTAAGACTTTAATCGAGCGAAAAGGCATTTATCAGTCATATCTATTTGCATTAAGAATTTTTTGATATCCACAGATCAACGTATGATTAACACAATTCTGAAAATATCGATGTTTTTCAATTGAACTTTATCGTGCAAAATTTAGCGTAACTTTGATCGATCGCGCGTGAAGTTCAAATTATTTTGGTGTTCTTGGTAAAACCAAGAGTGCAAAATTAGAAACGTTAAGTATGTTGCTTCCATTCGAAATACATTGGCTCAAAATTATACGCGAGGTTCCATGTAACATTGATGACAATGTATTTCAATAGATTCATTCGGACAATGTATTCACACACGATACATATAATTGTAGGCAGTTAGTTTCGCCGTGAATTGAAAGGCGATAAGACTTTCTTTTTGATGAAAGATGATGAAGCAACTAGATAAAAGTAAATAATTCATCGCGCGCATCAAAGTCCCATTTAGCTCGCACACGAAAAACGATCCATCGTTTATCGTATACGACGGTAAAATGCGAACGGCGTTAACGGCCTGCTAGGTAGACGTGATTATGGATATTAATAGCAACAAGTGCCTACATACAATATCAAATGCAGCAATTGTATTATCGGCTATTGAATTGAAGCTTCCAATAGCCTATTTGCACAAGTAACTGATTTAACATAAATTATCACGGAGGCTATTTGCTTGGAAATGAAAATAGCTACGTCCAGTGGTCGAGCGGCTTAATAAATTGAATTTGGAAATTATAGAAATTTCCAGAGAGATTGTCATATTAATCGATTATGAAATTGGTGCGTAGTTATCAACGTGAAAAATAATTTTCCTTTTGCACGTCAATTTCTGTAGCTGCTAGATTTCACATTGAAACTCGCACTTGAGTTAATTAAACTTCAAGATTCTCCGTGTATCCAGCAGATAACATTCGCTTCTGGATTTTGCAAAAATGTGATTCCTTCGTTTTCTCGTTAAATCTGTTACCGATAATGCTTTTCTCTTTCCGTTGCTCGGCTATATTTCTTGGAGCAGTTGCATATTTCCTAGGTACGCGATGCATCAATGTCCTTT